TGTGCCCCCTCCCAGCTTCTTGTGCACCTGGCAGAGCATGGGAAGCTGAAAAGTCCTTGACTGGTGTGAGCACTACTTAGCAACAACTAAAACATCAGTGTGTTATCAACATAATTCTCATCCTAAATCCAAAACACAGCACTATACCAGCTACTAGGAAGAAAATTAACTCTATCCCAGCCGAAACCAGGACATTGGCCCAGGTAGAGCCATAGGAGTCTGAGCTTACCTGTCCTTCCCCCTAGGATGCAGCAGTGGCCAGTGCTGCTCTTCCTAGCCTGGGTCTGCTTTCTCTTTTTTGCTGGTATCAGGCTCTTCATGAGTGGCTTCCTGCTCACCTGGAATGAGCTTGCCAACAACAGTTCCTGCTCAGACCCACTCATGCCACCACTGTGGGAGAGGCAGAGCCTCCTGCTGGGCTCCTGTTGGGTGCCCCAGCGCTTTTCCAAGGCCGTGCTTGTCATCATCGATGCCCTCCATTTTGAGTTTGCCTGGTTTAACCCAGCCAAGGTCAGTCCACTGCCCTATGAGAACAAGCTGAGTTTCCTGCACCACCTCACAATCTCCCAGCCCCACCATGCCTGCCTTACCACTTCCAAGCCAATCCACCCACTGCCACCATGCAGCGCATCACATTTTTGCCTTCTCTTTTCTGCATATGAAAACCCACCAGCGTTGTGTTTAAATTCAGAGTCCAGGACTCGGCTTCCACTTAGCCTCTGTCTGTCAGCAGCCATCTACCGCCTTGTGTTTTACAATGGGGTTGCAGGGTCTTTGGTGAGGGTTTGTCTGCTTTGCGCTGCACCTTCTTAAGTGCTGCAGTAGTACGAATGGGTACCTGTCTGCTTTTTGGCTTGTTCAACCAGGTCTTTCTGCTGGGGTGATGCCTCAGAGGTCAGCGATAAGTAATGAGGTTGTGCTGGTGGATTTAGTGTAGGGGCACTTGTAGGCTTAGAAACAGGGCTGGCCACTGGGTGATGACACTTGGGAAAGACTCTTCCTGAATTTGCTGGTTTGGGCTGGGATAGAGTTAATTTTCTTCATACTAGCTGGTATGGGGCTATGTTTTGGATTTGTGCTGAAAACAGTGTTGATAATACAGGGATGGTTTAGTTACTGCTGAGCAGTGCTGACACAGAGTCAAGGCCTCTTCTGCTTCTCACACCACCCCACCAGCGAGGAGGCTGGGGGTGGGCAAGATCTTGGGAGGGGACACAGCTGGGACAGCTGACCCCAACTGACCAAAGGGCTATTCCATGCCATGTGACGTCATGCTCAGCAATAAAACTGGGGGGAGGTTGGTGGTGGGGGCCACTGCTCGGGGACTGGCTGGGCATCGGTCAGTTGGTGGTGAGCAATTGTTTTCATTTGCATCACTTGTCTTTCTTGGGTTTTATTTCTCTCTCTGTTATTTTCCTTTTCGTTACAATTTTTTTTTAATTTATTATATTTCAATTAGTAAACTGTTCTTATCTCAACCCACAAGTGTTCTCACTTTTACCCTCTGATTCTCTTCCCCCCATCCTGCTGGGGGGGAGTGAGCAAGCGGCTGTGTGGTGCTTAGTTGCTGGCTGGGGTTAAACCACGACACCAAAGAAGTTTTTCTGCTCATATTTCTTCCCTTCTTTTAACGTGAAGGATCTTCACACTGTGGACGATGGGATCCTGCAGCATCTCTATCCAACTGCTAAGCAGCTCTTTCCCCAGGGCCTGGATAACCCTTTATGTGATGTGGAGGTCCTACTGCAAGTTTGGGGTAGGGCTGAAGAGTTTTTTCTGTTATGGAGTGGCACTGGACAGTCACGCCCAGGGATTACAGTGCTCTAGCTGGATTTCCACAGATAAGCCAGCTTTCGGGGCCTGTAAACTGCTTCTGTAAATACCTTTCCTTTGTTTGGGAGAGAGTGCAGCTTGACGGGATGAGGCTACAGGTTAGACTTCCATATCTGTCCTAGAAATACTCTGCCAGGATGGAGCAGGAGGAGCAGCTCTTTCTTCATGCTTAGCTTTAACTGTGTGGCTGCCTGGGCAGATGGTAGGAGGGGAAGAAATGGCAGTTTCCAGAGGCAACCAGAAAGCTCTGGCAGGAGGATCCTGGAGTAGAGCCCGTGCCTGAATCCCAGGCTAGTATGTGACAAGGCTGCTCTTGTTCTGCAGTGGACAGTGGTGAATGGGACATGCTGATTGCTCACTTCCTTGGCATGGACCACTGTGGGCACAAACATGGACCTGATCATCTGAAATGACTAAGCAGCTCACCCAGATGAATGAGATGCTCAGGTGATTAGCGTGGTGGGGGGCGGGGTGCCAGCTGGCCTCTTCCTTCAGCCAGTCTGGTGAGGTCTTCCCAAGGCATTTACAGATGCAGAGGGCAACAGGGAACACTTACTGTGCCTGTTATCATGGAGAATGGCTTTGGCTAGCAGCAGCTGAAACACCAGCTATGGGGCAGTCTCAGTTGCGTAGACATGTTCATGGGGGAATGGTACAGAACAGGGTTTGGTTTCAGAGGTAAGACTGTCTTCAGGTCTTGGAGCCTTGGTTCTCAACCAAACCGTCAGGTGATGGTGCAGCTAGAGTATAGCTGAGCCTCACTCTCTCAGTCTGAGACTTTGGCTAATGACACTAATATCCAACCTAAACCTCCCCTGGCACAACTTGAGGCCGTTTCCTCTTGTCCTATCACTTGTTACTTGGGAGAAGAGACCAACCCCCACCTTGCTACAGCCTCCTTTCAGGTCATTGTAGAGAGCAATAAGGTCTCCCCTCAGCCTCCTCTTCTCCAGACTAAACAACCCCAGCTCCCTCAGCCGCTCCTCATAAGACTTGTGCTCCAGACCCTTCACCAACTTCGTTGCCCTTCTTTGGACACGCTCCAGCACCTCCATGTCCTTCTTGTAGTGAGGGGCCCAAAACTGAACACAGAATTTGAGGTGTGGCCTCACCAGTGCCGAGTATAAGGGGACAATCACTTCCCTAGTTCTGCTGGCCACGCTATTTCTGGTACAAGCCAGGATGCTATTGGCCTTCTTGGCCACCTGGGCACACTGCTGGCTCATATTCAGCCAGCTGTTGACCAACACCCCCAGGTCCT